ACGGTCAATTTATTTTTATTTCTAATTCTGTTTGATAGTTGGTCCAAATTTTCTCAGAAGGAGGGTGTTTTTGTGCTTAGGTATGTGTCCAAAAACTCTACATGTCATACATATTGATGGATTTTGACATATGAGGCATTGCTGGATTCGTGTTAGCAGTTAGCAGTGCAGGTGACATTGGCCATATTGAAATTTCGTAGAAACAAGATGGCTGGTATTATTAAACACGTTCAACTTTGACATTCCTACTTCACGAGTTTGACCCTTACGAAATTTGTTTCTCATATAACGAACGTGAATGAAAAGCTTGATGGGTTCGTCTGGCAGGCCGAGAATGCGATATCATGGAGGAGAGCTCATAGAAGAAATAAAACATCAACTTATCTACAGGGTGACCCATCCATGTGTAGACGGAATATTACTTATAAACAAATACATTTTGGGAAAATTCATTTATGGGATGGGCACATTTCTAAAATGTTGGCCATTATATAGGGTGTCCCAATTTCGACCTACATATCAAAGTTGTGAAATTTTATTGCATACTTGGATAAACCAATTCAAAGGAAGAAAATTGATATAACATACTATGGGGTTTTGGTAATTAGCTACTGAGATATAAGGTGTTTAGTCTAGAAAAACCCCTCACTTCGGCAACCCCTCAGTCCGTCATTTTGAAATTGGAGTGCTGAATTTTGTATATAAAAAAAGACATACCTCAGCTTTTATATTATTTGTTACTTTTTCGAATTTCAATTTTTGCTCATACAGGGTGGTCAGAAACGCAAATTGTAGCTTTTCTCAGAAATTTTAAATGCATCACCCTGTATATTTGTGCAAGTTTGGATTCAATTTTTTATAAGCTTTTTTTGATTCCAGACACAAGGGTTTTTACGGCTATTTTTTTGGTTATTAGCACGTCTTTTATGGAACGGCTTAATTCCCTAAAATATCGCATCATCCTTGGAAACAAATAAGTTGTTGGTTAGTTACAAACTGTTAAAATTAGCTTTATGAGCATTATAATAAAAACGTGTTTGGAAATGAATTTTTTTTAAAGAAGCAATGGTGAATATGCCAAAAAAGCTTATAAAAAATTGAATCTAAACTTTGATATAGGGTGATGCATTTGAAATTTTTGATAAAAAGTACAATTCTCGTTTTTGACCACCCTGTATGAGCAAAAATGAAAATTCGAGAAAGTAACAAATAAGACAAAAGCTGAGGTACGTAAGTGTTTTTGATACAAAATTCAGCACCCCAAATTTCAAAATGGCGGATTGAGGGGTTGTGGACGGCTTTTCTGGACAAAACACCTTACACCTTAGTAGCTAATTACCAAAACCCCATAGTTTGTTATATCTCTTCTCCTTGTGAATACAGATATGCAATAAAATTGGAGGCATACCATTTAAAAAATCACAACTTTGATATGTAGGTCAAAATTGGGACACTCTGTATAATGGCCAATGTTTTAGAAATGTGCCCTCAAATGTCTTGTATAACATCCCATACATATATTCTTCCAAAATGTAAATACAAATAATAAATAAACAAATGTTTATGAGTAATATTCCGACCACACATGGATGGGCCACTCTATATAAAAGAGCGCCAGAAAACCGACAACTCATGGATGCGAGTTGAGGACGTTAAAGACGTGTTACCGACGAGTCAAGTAGCTCTTATACTCAACTATTTCTTCCAGCAATCACTATATCGTACGATTCCCTTAGCGCGCTAGTTCACTTGAAATTGTTATTACATTTCCTAAAAGACGTATTAGCAAGTGTGATTAATGCGACCTTTCACCGTTATCGCTTGTATCGTACTGTTACAGTTTACATTATACGATAACCAATACCATCAATATGATTGTTAAATTTGTAATATACCACGATTATACGATATGCGAAGAGCCCGCTACTAGTTTCGGTCGCCATCAGAATTCATTCTGAAAGCAACCAAAAGTAGCGATGGCGAGACAAGCGGTCGAATAGATCTGGGGCCTAACCTCCACTAAGGTACACCATGGTTATAGGACCGATGATGGTGTAGGCAAAGAACAGCTATTGCTGGTTCGAAACGTGCAGCGAGTCGCGTGTGTCTGCACCACACCATGAAGGGTACCGCAACTGCCGCTGAATTACCTGGTATGGGAGAAGGGTAGGAAATGTCCTCAGGTTGAAAGAAGGTATTTCCGGTGTCAGACCTAGGCAGATCAGAAGCATATGCCTAGATAAGCTGACTACCGCATGTCAAGCGGAAATTGCTGCAGTCACAAACTGTGGCTTAGATGATGGGCAGTATGACAGGAAGATCATCTTTATAAGCACAGCCGAGATGATATAATGTCATTAGCAAGCTACTGCTATATCTCGGAGATAGCAAGGGACTGCCATAATGCGCTCACACACTGGCAGATACCAACAAGGTAATTTTCTCGTTGTAGACAAGTCATATGGGGATAGGTAGTAAAGAGGGAGTCGATTGGTGTTGCGAAAATAGGAGCTGATTCATATCCCTTACTGGACCAGAACCGGCCTGTGACATTTTGTATAGCCTTGCTCGTGCCACTTTCTCCCATTGGGAGTAGAATGAGTACCATAAGAGGTCGAATACGCTCAATCAAAGGAGATGCTGAGAGGACTTTCTAGGTCAAATATAGGACATGCTGGCGGACTTACAAAACCACCACAGTCTGGTAATGCCTTCAGATATAATGCCAAAAATAACAAGATATGCTAAACCCTACTCAGTGACAATTCCACACAGGAATAAGTGGGAACAGCAAGTTAATCTGATAAGGAAAGATATCTGTGCATACACACATGGCGAGACCGAGGTGTTGGAGCTGGTATCGTCGTGCCGAAGCTAAAGATAACAAAATCTGTTAGCCTAGGAACATGGGCATCAATCTTCCAGGCAGAGCTATATGGTATTGAACTGGGTGAGAGAAAGATCGCAGAACTACAATTAAGGCACAGAACTATAACTATTGTTTCAGATAGTCAAGTCGCACTGAAAGCACGTAATTCCAACTACTCGACATCGAAATTAGTGTGGAATTGCAAAGAAGCTCTCGGTGGCAAAGGAGGGGAGATGAAGTCCGTCTCATATAGGTACCAGGACACACAGGTCTAGAGGGAAACAAGACAGCTGACACTCTGGCAAATAGTGGGGCTAGCACACTCTTCATATGGCCTGAGCCAGCGATTGGGATCGCATACAATACAGCTAAACAAATAATCTCGCAGAGATGGACAGAAAGATCCATCAATACTGGGAGGAATTAGCAGGGTTAACCCATGCTAAGGCAACTATACCAATCTTGACAAAGGAGGTAATAGATTCTTTGCTACGGCTGAGCAGGAATAGCCTCAACGCTCTAGTAGGACTGGCAAATTGCGTCACCCCATGAGCAGGCTGGACATGGCGGAATACGCTGAGTGCAGACTGTGCATGGAGGTAAAACGGTCAGGCATGTACTGTGCAGACACCCTGCAATTGTCCGAATCAGGTTCAACATACAGAAGGCCTGAAGGGTATTTCTCCAAACTAGTTGATCGACTTCCTTAGGAGGTCGGAGCTACTGGGGGAAATATAAATAGGTGTGAGTCACAATAGACCAAAGCGTCGCAGTGGAGGATCGTTATTAATGCACCCACAAGAAACCTAACCTAACCTAGCAAGATGACATAGATTGAGTAAGAAAGCGGTATGGATCCTACCGAGAATGAAGATGACTGCTTCAAGTTCCCCAGGTAGGATGTTCATAGAAACGGAAGAAACTGCAAGACATGTTATATAGTCGACTATCCTGCCCTTAACAACAGAAGAAACACTTACTTGACAAGTCAAGAGGTAAGTCAGGGGGATATAGTACGAAGGATTGCGAGGCTTACCAATAACTTAGAATGATACGGGGGCCGGGGGGCGCACAATAAGCCGTATCACTGAGTGGCAACTGTAAGGTCACTGAACTCTAACCTCATTGTTACTAAAAAGGATGAAAAGTAGATCAGAAGAGTCCATTGGCATAATGCCAGATCATCGACTTTCTGCTGACGTCAAGGAGGCTTGAAGCTGCATCTTAGGGTTGTATCAATGATCAGTCGGATAGCCCTCCTTTCTGAATAAATAATATTTTCAGAAAGCTGAACTAGGTCAAGCCGAAACGAGTACAAGGCTTGGGAACAGCTGGTCAAGGTTTTGTTACTGGTGTTCAACATCGAATAATGCTGCAACATTTTTTAAACACGATTGCGGCAACTTATTCAATCCTAAAGTCTGGATGAGATAAAGCTACATCACACACTCCAAGGGAGTAGTCAGAGGCTCTGTTTGAATGGAATTTTTCGGAAAGCCAATTTCAATTGGCCTCCGCATTCTCTGGATTAAAGCGCGAATGGGTTTTTCATTTGTCGAAATTGCAATGGAATATGCGTTTACGAATCAGCCAAGAAAAATTGTCTACTTAAAATACAATATTCGTATCGGAGTTGCAGTCATAAATTAGATGAAATGCTATGGATTAACATGATACGAACAGCACTTTCGAGATATATTATCATTCATACCTAATTTCACATTGGTGTACCATATTAATATAACAAATCCATTTTGTTAGTCAAGATAGGTTGTAAGTAATTATTATGGAGTTGGACGTAAATAGTTATATTAACGCTTTTTTGTGTATAGCATTGGATACATTCAGGTAAGGTAACACCGGTGTAGTTTCTTGAATGCGCTATAGCCACCTTACATACTTTTACCAAAGGACATTTCCATGTTCTTCTGTCGGTTAAGCAAACTACATATATGTAGTTACTAAAAATACTGATGTTTGCGCCATCTTGTCAAAGTACAAAATGAGTCTTACAGAGGTCAGTAATTACTATATATATACATTTGTGGTTTCCCTTAACCGTCAGTAGGACATGTAGATAAATTGGCGAAACAATCACAAGATGAGTTTTGGGGGTTATAATTATTATACTAGTCTTGCTTTGCTTGTGGGATCTCCTTCTATAAGTCGTTTATATTGTATACAACAATCAAAGATACTATGTATCAATAGCAGATAAATATGCATCTTGGCCTTGAAATTATTCAATTGATACCATGGCAGTGGCGGTAAAGGGTGTCTCCAAAGAATCTTTTTATCTTCGTCAGGAGTGGAAGTTATTACCAGATTTATTTAAAGTTGACGACTACTATGATTGTATTGATAATGGGAATATTTATTGTGCTGTCGATGCAAAACTTTGGACCATGAATACGAGTAGTCAAATTTGGAACTTCTTAGAGGTGAGTTGAGAGTCTTATGAAGCTGGACTGTCGCAGGTGCTTAACTATCTCATCTTCCTATTCACATCCAACATACAAGGGTGTGTCACTTTCTTTCATACTTTAGATATGCTTCCTTAACTGAAAATATCCGGTGGCAATGCCAGTAGTGAACCAAAACTGCAGTCTAGACATTAACATCCAATATTTTGCTACTTCCCGACTAGAACAAATGACGGATTCCCTAAGCATCTAGCAATATCACCTCATAAATCTCCGAAAACTAGACTCACAGATTATACTAGTCAACTAGAACTCTGGCTTCAAAAGCAAGTCTACCGTGAGTCTATTCTTTTCATGTGATCCTTCACCTAACAGTTGTTGCTGGCTTAGGCACTCATGAGTGACAAATAGAAATCTAGTACTGATGTGTTTGCAAGTTTGCAGCACTTTTCCCGGACAGTGGCCACTATCCATGCACATACTTAATATCTCTGAGGGCAATCTCCTCTTAAGCTATACAATTCGAAATGCATCATGCTGACAAGTTTATAGGATCCAGCCGAAACTTGGGCATCAGCTTCAGCTTCGGCCACATCAGTACAAGAAATACACCTTTGGCCATACATTTGGTCTACAGCCAAAACGGCCGAAGGCTTGTATCTCTACTCACGACACTATCTGTACTCGTGACAAATTTTACATTTTACAAAGTGTAAGTGTAAGCACAATGAGTCTGGACACAATTGGAATACCTTTTATGAGGTGCCAAGGAATGTTACCATATATAAATGGATTCTTTTGGTACTCGAGAATATCCGATAGCTATCCCTACCAGTTAGCTTTTTGCCATCGCACTTCATGTTATGTTCACTTATTAGTAGAAGAAGTACTGCATCTGTGGCCTCCGAAATAATTGACCCAAAAATTGAGTTTACAAATAGGTTTAATCGAAAAGTTGCGGTGCATCTTAAAGTTTTTACAATATCCCTCAAAAATTGTGAAGAAATAAGTGCCTGAAACTACTGAAACAGTGAAAATCTTCATTATCCCTGAGAACTGTCAATAGCAACTAGTTCGTCGCCATTATGGGGTTATCGACAACTGATATGCGCGAAATCAAATCAACAATCATCAATACCTTCAACGAAAAATTTTTACAAGAAATAGTCGTACAACTGGTAGAAAAGCAGTTTGAAGAAAGACTTAACAGGAACGAGGAGGAAATACAGACTCTTTGTGACAGGGTCGAGAATTTGGAAAAGGATAATAGACGTCTTATCATGAAAATGGACGATCAAGAGCAAATGGAGAGATCCCAAAATGTCAGAATATTTGGGCTGAAGGAAGAGGGAGCGGAAGATTTGGGTAATGTTATAGTGGATCTGTTTCAAAACAAACTGAAAGTAAACATACAAGAAAAAGATATAGTCAAATACCATCGCATACCAAACAAAAACTCAAATAACAGTACGTCGGCCGTGCTGGTACGGTTCACCTCCAGCGATTCACGGGCATCGGCTTTGAAAAATCGAAAACTGTTGAAAAACACCGGGATTCGTATAAAAGAAGATCTGACTAAATCGCGACTGAAGTTATTTAAAAGATGTATTGATTTGTTTACGAAAAACAATGCGTGGATTCTAAGAGGAAATATTTACGTAAAACAAAACAATGAAGTTCATCGAATCGCCAGTGATGAGGATCTACACAAAATTAATGTTTAAGAGGTTTTTTTTTTGTAAGGTTTTCAATAAACAATGCAGTGTAGTGAGTATGTGGGGGGACGGGTGCTGCAGCATTCTAACATGAAGGTAACATTACTGTAGATGTTTTCAAAGTAGGCAGTGTTAGACGTTATTTCTAGTCGTAAAAAATGTATTAGTATTAGCTACTTTGAATGTGGCTTAATCAGTACTCGTCTTTTCGCCTATTATTATTTTTCTTCTTACACTTTTAGGTTAAAAAAATTAGAAATAATTGTTTAATAATAATTAGTACGAATCACAATGTTGTTATGCAATAATTTTAAACGAATTTATTAGTCCATACACATATAGTTTGCCAATTTACAGTAATTTTATGGACACTAAATAAAATAAAAATGCCTAATTTCAAAATACATGTCAAGAATAATTAAATTAAGAGAATAAATAATGAATTTCTGTTTCATTCGTATACTCGTTGTTTTTTGGAAAAACCTCAAAAGATGTGGCAGTGGTTTCAGTTTTTATTTTTCGCAGCAAGTTATGGACTTAATTCTGATAATTTTTGGGAAAAACATAAATTGTGTCTCTGGACCTGCTAATGCCACAAATAACGCATTGCTGTGAGGGTATGTATGCAAGTACGCATGTATACTTAAGAATGGCAATTATTTTTAGGTTGTTAGGTTTAGTCTCGTTTACAAAATTAAATAAGAACAAAATTGTAATAGTGTTACATAGAGGTTATAGGTTGACGCGGGGGCATGGGGATGACGGGGATTGGTCTTCGGGGACTGGCAATAGTGAGGAAATAAGGGATAATGGATAATGATAACATGGGTCAGCGAGTGGAGAGTGTTAATGATGAATCAATATTTGATAGTCCACATCAAAACCATTTCACAGTCGGACATCTAAATATCAGATCCATAAATTCTGGATTTGACGAGTTCTGTAATTATATGACAGAATACAATTTTGATATTTTTGGAGTTTCTGAAACATGGCTCAATCCAACTTTAAGAAGTGAGAGTTTTTGCTTGCCTGGGTACAAATTTATAAGGAATGATAGGCAGGGTCGAGGAGGAGGGGTAGCTTTATACATAAAAAGCGGGTTGAAATATTCAAGGGTAAATGTGGAAATTAACTGTGCAGAAACCATAGGTATAGAATTTAAGATAGGTGGAAAAACTTATCTTTTAGTTAATAGTTATCGTTCGCCTTCTGAGAGTGTCACTTATTTTTTAGATTCCTTAGAAAATTTTCTCGGTTTTGTCAGTGTCAAATATGATTATTTATTACTGATAGGAGATCTAAATATTAACATTTTAAATAATTCTGCATACACAAATCGCATCAAAAATATAATTCATAGTTTTAACTTATCACAAAGGATCAGTGAGCCAACAAGATTCAATTTTGCCACAAGAGAGGCTAGCCTCATTGATATAATCTGTGCTAGTGAGGATCTTATCTCTATCGATTCTAAATCATTGGCAGTTTCTAAAAATCTCTCAGATCATAACTTAATTTACTCAGCATTTCGAAAGTCAAAAATAAATAAATCACAAAAGACTATTAAATATAGAGACTACAATAATATAGATAGAGAATCCTTCTTAAATGAAGGGTTTCTACTTGGGTGGGAGGATATTTACTATATAAACGAAATCGACCGAAAAATAGAAGTCTTTAATAAAAATATAGTAACTGTTCTGAATAAACATGCTCCAATAAAAACAAAACAAATAACCGAAAAACCTTATGTACCCTGGATAACTCAAAATATAAGAATTTTAATCAGACTAAGAGATAAAGCTCATAAAAAATTTCAAAAATCAAAATCACAGGCTCATTTTGAATATTATAAACAACTAAGGAACTATACAAAGCATGCAATTATCCGAGAAAAAAATACATTCTTTAACTTACTCTCAACAAAGAAAGGTAAGGAATTTTGGGACACTACCAAAAAGCTCAACATTAACCTGCAAGAAAACTCACTCAACTATACCCGAACACTTACAAAATGTAAATGACATACACAATTACTTCCAGCAGACCGACAATTTACCAGACACTGCTTCCCAAGAATGAATCAATTTTTACAAAAACAATGTAAATATTAACGATTCTCTTAGCTTCCAACTGTTAGACAGTCTAATCAAAATTGTAACTAATATCTCATCAAATGCCATTGGACAGGATGGTTTCTCTATGAGAGACCTAAAGTTATGTATCCCATTTTGTACGAATGCCTTGCTGAATATAATCAACACATGTATTTTGGGGGGATTATTTGGAAGAAAGCTATTGTTAAACCCTTACCAAAAATAGCAGAACCTAAAGAATTTACAGACTTGAGGCCTATTAGCATATTACCCGCTACATTCAAAATTTTAGAAAGGCATATTTATAATCAAATTAGGTTTTTTTGTGACACAAACGATATCATACCAGATAGTCAATCCGGTTTTAGAAAAAACTTTAGCACAAGTACATCATTAGTTAATATCTTGGATGATATCAGACATCATCAAGAACAAAAAAATAGTACGTGCATGGTTCTTCTCGACTTTAGTAAAGCGTTCGACACTCTGAATCATGAAATGTTACTAGCTAAGTTACATTACCAGGGGTTTTCGCAGAACTCCGTAAATCTAATAAAAACATACTTAAGCAACCGTTCAAACTGTGTTATGTTAGCAAATGATTCTGCTATTTACAAAACCGATTTTAAACCTATAAAAAGAGGAGTTCCTCAAGGTTCAATTTTATCTCCTTTGCTATTTTCAATCTACATATCTGACATGGTCAAATCGGTAAAATTCGCAAAGATAAAACAATATGCAGATGACTCACAAATATATCTCCCTGTCAATAAAACCACAATCCATATTGCACAACAACAACTAAATTCAGATCTCCAAAGAATTGACAGATTTGCAAAGCATCACAATCTTAAACTAAACCCCTCAAAATCGCAAGTAATGGTTATGAATAAAAACAGTACTGAAAGAGAACATTTTGAACAAAATTTAGTAATTTCTATTAACAATGACAGAATCCCCATAGTTCAGGAGACAAAAAATATAGGCATTATATTTGATAGCTCGCTTGGCTTCGGCAGTCATATAAAAAACAGAACAAATTTAGCTTACATGCGACTAAAAAATATAAACAAATTAAAAAAACATTTATCAGCCAAACAAAAATATTATTTGTGTAATACCTTAATTTTATCACTTTTTGACTATGAAGATGTCGTCTATGGTGATTCGCTATCGTCGCGACCAAAAAATGCATACAAAAAGT